GCAAGCAGCAGCTTACCTATCTAGCATAATTTCATTAAAGTTAGCATGAATGACAAAATTTACACCATGTATTTCTTAAATATAAACTATAATAGATTTCTTGTGTATACGTCCCCTACAGAAAAAAACCCTATCTAATTTCTGAGATCAGCCTAACAAAAAACTTTGCATTCTTTACTGAACTTTTCCTACCATAAATAGCATTTATTCTAAGATCAGTAGATACTATCTTATATATTTTATTTTCATAATGCCAAATGTGTTTATTTAATAATAATAATAAAGTTGGAAGGGACCTTGGAGGTCATCTAGTCCAACCCCCTGCTCAGGCAGGAAACCCTATACCATTTCAGACAAATGGCCATCCAGTCTCTTCTTAAAAACTTCCAGTGTTGGAGCATTCACCACTTCTGGTGGCAGGTTGTTCCACTGGTTAATTGTTCTGTCAGGAGGTTTCTCCTTAGTTCTAGGTTGCTTCTTTCCTTAATTAGTTTCCATCTGTTGCTTCTTGTCCTACCTTCAAGCATCTTGGAAAATAGCTTGACACCCTCTTCTTTGTGGCAGCCCCTGAGGTATTGGAACACTACTATCATGTCCCCCCTCGTCCTTCTCTTCATTAAATTAGACATACCCAATTCCAGCAGCCGTTCCTTATATGCTTTAGCCTCCAGTTCCCTAATCATTTTTGTTGCTCTTCTCTGTATTCTTTCTAGAGTCTCAAGTATAGTATATATTTTATTATCATAGATCAGTGATGGCGAACCTTTTAGAGACCGAGTGCCCAAACTGCAACCCAAAACCCACTTGTGTATCATCGGGTGCTGGGTGGGCATGGCCCATTGGGTGGGTGTGGCCCATTGGGTGGGTATGGCCTATTGGGTGGGTGTGGCTGTAGTGGTAATGGCAGACTGGGTGGGACTAAAAGTTCAATCAATCAATTCCAACTTTGCGAGATTTTTTTTTCCCCTGAGAAGTTGAAATTGATTGATTGATTGAACCTTTTTTTTTTTTTTGCACACGGCAGCAGAGGCCTAAAGTGAAAAGGTTTTATAAAATCCAGCTGAAGGCCTAGGACTGGGAAGATGGCATGAGTGCCCACAGAGACGGCTCTGTGTGCCACCTGTGGCATGCGTGCCATAAGCTTACCACCATGGTCATAGATAGTTATAAAACATATAACACATTTATGCTGTTTGCCTGGAAATTTACTATCATTTCAAGACAAAATAATGTTCTGCCAAGTATGTACAAGCCTTTTCTATTAGAAAGTTCTACATACTGTATTTAAGCTGATTATTTGAAAACTTTCGTAGAGAAAAGACACATACTTCAGTGCAGATTGGAAGTAGTTTGAACATACATGTACATGTAATTGTGTAGCATGTAGCTTACACTGTTCTTTTTTTAAATTTAATTTATAAATTCTTTGCCCTTTCTCATGCAATATTTTTTAAAGTGTTTTTTTCTTTTTCTGAGGTATGCATAATTTGAGAGAACAGAATTAAACGTATTCTCCCCATATTGACACTTAAATTTGATGTGTGCTTTTGATTAAAAACAAAAACTGGAACACCGCAGAATGTATAGCCTGACATCCCCCTCAAAATGCAACCCACTTTTATCATATTTAGAATGCTTATCTTTACTTTTAAAATCCTTGTACTGAGAGAGCCCATGGAAATTCATTAATTTCTCCTTTCTTTCTCATCTAAGTAAAATTATATAGCACTAGAGACAAATGAACTAAATTATCAATTATTTTGAAAAGGTTGTCAACAGAAAGTTTTTTCTATTCATGATAGTTCCTGATTAGCGTGCACATTTTAAAATGCACAATTAGTATGTACATTTATTTGAAAATAGATAGATTGAATATGGAAAAAACTGGTATCAAACTAAATCAGTTTTGAAATTGCCTATTTACGTTACATTTAATTTCTCCCTTTCTCTCTCTCTCCTCTCTCTCTCTCTCTCTCTCTCTCTCTCTCTCTCTCTCTCTCTCTCTTTGTGTGTGTGTTTAAAGACTATGTTTATATTTCAACCTATACTACAGCTTGATTAAAATGATAGTTCTTAGAATGATTGTATGTGGTTAACACAAGATAAATGAGAATCAGTAAAAAAAAAAACCCTATAGAAATCATTCTAGTTTTTCTTTTAGGCTTTTGTAGCTCATTTAAGTTTACATCATCCATTATTAAACAGCAGGTTTGTTCAAACCCATTATCCATTATTTCATATACTGTATAATGATTTATATCAGATTGTATTATATAAGCCAGCAATCATCAGGCTATCAAAACAGCAGATTTTTCAGATATATACAGGGCAACACAAATCTCTGTGGGTGCTTTTGGGTAAAAATATTTAAGCATTCTACAAATTAATCTTAGTTTTTAGAACAGAAAAATCCTGCTTCAAGCATGCCACAATAAAGAGGCAAGTCCATTTTGAAAAAGCATTTTTAAAAAGCCTACTGAATAATTTACATCCTTCAGTAATGAATTCAAATCCAAGTTGCAACCCCCATTGAACTGAGTTTGGACTAGATGAATGTGCCATGCTCACTATCCAATGAGGGAAATTAGTGAAAATGGAAGGAATCAAGATGCCTATGGCAAACTGCTGGCCCGCGGGCCGGACATGTCACCTGAAAGCACGCCCACCCCATTGCCAGCAATGGCAAAGCAGTCCCAATACATCACGTGACATCACGTGACGTTGCGAGTTTGACATGTCTGCGCTATGGAAACAACATCAAGAGTCTGGGTGAACATGATCACTACAAATAACCTGGGCATCCTTCAAGCTGACAACATCTGAAGTGAAGAAAAAGTTTAGAAGTGAATACATCAAGAGTGTAAAGAATATTTTATAGGCCAAACTCAGTGGAGGAAATACCATCAAAGCAATTAACACTGAAACAGTTCCAGTCATTAGATACACAGCTGGAATTATGGACTGGACTCAAGCAGAACTAAAAGCCCTAGAAAAGTAATGACAATGAATCATGGTCTTCATCCTTTCAGTGGTGTTGACAGACTCTATTTACCAGGGAAAATAGGTAGGCATGAAATGTTACAAGTACATCAGACGTTTGGAAAAGAAAAAAGGCATTGGAAAAATATCTGAAGAATAGTGAAGAAGATGCACTGAATGAAGCTAGCATACCAGGAAGCTTACTGACTACTGGAGAAACCAAATGACCTACAAGAAAGATTAAATGAAGAACAGAAAAGAGGCATAGGAAGACAAAGTACTACCTGGCCAGGACATTAAAAAAAAAAAAAAAAGCAGGCAAGGCAGATAATAACAAGACCTGCCAATTTCCTGGTAAGAACAGGAAAGTTGAAGAAAGAGATAGGCTAATTCTGGCTGCACAAATGCATACAAAGCCAGAACTGAGAAGACAGCAACAGACAACAGGTGGCACCTCTGCAAAGAAGCTGAAGAAACAGTTGTTGTTGTTGTTAATTGCGAAGTCGTGTCCATCGCAACCCCATGGACAACGTTCCTCCAGGTCTTCCTGTCCTCTACCATCTTCTGGAGTCCATTTAAGTCAGTGGTTCTCAACCTGTGGGTCGGGACCCCATTTGGGGTCGAAAGACCATTTCATGGGGGTCACCAAACAAGGCTGTCCGCCATTTTTCCCCCTTTTCTTTGGCCACGCCCCTGGCACCAGTGATGTATAAGTGGTTGGGGGTCACCACAACATGGGGAACTGTATTATGGGGTCGCAGCATTAGAAAGATTGAGAACCACTGATTTAAGTTCACACCTACTGCTTCAGTGACTCCATTCAGCCATCTCATTCTCTGTCGTCCCCTTCTTCTATTGCCCTCAATCTTTCCCAGCATTAGGCCCTTCTCCAGTGAGTCCTTCCTTCTCATTAGGTGGCCAAAGTATTTGAGTTTCAACTTCAGGATCTGGCCTTCTAAAAAGCAGTTGGGGTTGATCTCTTCTAGAACTGACCGGTTTGAACGCCTTACAGTCCAAGGGACTCGCAGGAGTCTTCTCCAGCACCATAGTTCAAAGGCCTCAATTCTTTGGCGCTCAGCCTTTCTTATGGTCCAACTTTCACAGCCATACATTGCAACTGGGAAAACCATGGCCTGGACTATACACACTTTCAGCTGCTGCAAGAAGATTGCACAAACAATAGCATGACAAAGTAACAACAATCAGGCATTGGAAGATCTACAAAAAATACTATTTGTGTGCAAACAAGAACTGGTGGGACCATAAAATAGAGAAATTAATAGAAAATGAAGAATCCAGAGTGCTCTGAGACTTTAGAATTCAATCAGATTTGCACCTGCTGCAAAACACATCACATGTAACAATTGTCAATAAGAAAGGCAAAAAAATTCTTGAGACAGCAGAATCAAAGAGAAGGAATTGGAGAAGATAACAAATACAAAGACCTGTAAATAGAAATGGAATATCTGTGGCAAAAGAAAGCAAAGGTAGTACTAATAGTAATAGGGAGTACATCCCAAAATAACTGAAGCACCATTTGAACATCATCAACATTAACAAATTCACCATTGATCAATTGCAAAAGGCAGCTTTACTCAAAACGGCTTATATCCTGTGACACCATGGATAATGCCAAATCCAGTCTGAGCATCTGGCTGCCGGTGCTATGAACTAAAATATTAAATTTATATTCTGTCCAATCTCAGCAACTCTGCATGGTTTATCGATTGTTAAAAATATTTTAAAAACAATGAAATAACACAGAGAACATAAAAACAATACTAGAAAAGAACACAAAGCTAGATGATGCTGTTTGACAAATGGTGCTCAGACTTGGAAAAATCATTTGAACAAATGAATAGGGGGGTTGAGTTCTATGTTTATATATGGCTATGGGTCACTGGGTAGATTTTTTTTGTGTGTGAATATTATGGTAGTTGTTTTGCTGTGATACATTGTATTGTTCTAGACGAAATGTAGATATGGCATAGTGAATTGTTGTTGTTTTTTTTCCCTTTAAGGATATCCGGTGAACATTCTCCAAAGCTTCAAATCAGAAGCCACAGTTACTTGAGGGCAGTGAGTGAAGTTTCAATCAATAGGAGTTTGGATAGCTTGGATCCTGCGGCTCTGCTTACATCTCCTAAGTTTCGTTCCCGAAATGAAAGCTACATGAGGGCGATGAGCACTATTAGTCAGGTGAGTGACATGCCTGTACAATTAAAAAAAAATAAAGTTAGAACAAAAACACCTCTGATAAATATAAATATAAAATCTATATAAGAAAAAGATGTATGGACAATTCTGCAATAAAACAAATGTATGACAGCGTATATTATTAAAAATCCCTTAGCTATATAAATGCCAGTTCCTAATAATCAATAATATTATTGAATAATTATTGGCACGACCAAGAGTCTCAAAATGGAACTCTATAAAATTGGTGGTTGGTGCCACACACAAATATACCTCAAATGCCAGAAAATATAAATTTCTATACAGTATTTGGGAAAAACATTGTGATAAGGGCAGAGTGACTATCAAGCAACTTCCACCCACTGAAGGAACATACCACTTTTGCTTGGCACATCAAGGGTTGGGACAACCCTTCACATATAGGTTGGGACAAAGAGGGAATATTAAGTGTTTCACTTGCTCACCTTGTCCTTTTAAGTCCCTTCCCAATTAAAAAAGGGTACACATTTGGTCCTCACCCACTTTAAAAGGTCCTGGTGGGCTGCATAGAATCCCCAAGCCAAAAAGTTTGTACCCTGGCTATAAACCAGATGGCATCCCTGATAGGAAGTGTCTTCAGATCCTCTGTCCATTTGTTTAGCTTTTGACCAACTTGTTTTTTTTAAATTTTGTTTAGAATCCATATCTAATCATTTTTTTAAAAAAATATTATTTTTGAACAGAGTTCAGTAATAATTATTCAGCAAAAATGTGTTGTCTGAGTATCTTATTCACTAATACAAATTAAATTCCTAGTCCCTAAATCTTTTCTCTAATCATTGATAAAATAGGCCCCAAGTTTGAAAATATTCTGTTTCTTCTTTTTCTTTCAACCTTAAAGTAAGTCTGTCCATTTCCGCACAGTCTAATATTTTTTTGATTATTTCTTCTTCTGGTGGTATTTTTTCGTTCTTCCAATATTGTGCAAATATAATTCTTGCCGCTGTTATCACATGTAGAATCAAATATGTACTTTGCTTATCAGGTTTTTCTGGCATTATACCTAATAAAAAAAAATCAGGTTTATAGTCTATGTGTTTCTCTAACATTTTTTTCTTACCAAGTGTGGATTATTGTCCAATATCTCCTCGCTTTAACACATGTCCACTACATATGATAATAAGTACCTGGTTTGTGTTTACATTTCCAACATTTCTGTGACATGTTTTTAAACATTTTTGCTAATCTTGTTGGTGGCAAATGCCATCTATAAAACATTTTATATAAATTTTCTTTGTATGAAGCTGACATTGTCAATTTATAATTTCTTTCCCACAAACTTTGCCACTTTTTAAAGTCTATATTATATCCAAAATTCTTTGCCCATACTATCATTGTCTCTTTTACTTGTTCATCTTCCATTTTGAAATTTAATAAGAAATTGTACATTTTTAATTAACTTTTCATCAGAAGTTTATAATGTCTGATCAAACATAGTCTGTTTTTTGTAAAATCCATATTGTTTAGTATCTTTATCATATCTGACTTGCATTTGTAACTGTGACCACCATGTTAAATAGATGCCCTGATTTCCCATCTCTTGCCTGGATTTTAAGTTCCCTTCCAGAATTTAGAATATCTTTGTATGTCCATATTTTATCGAGACTGACTAGATTTGGATGTACGAATGCTTCCATTGTTGAAAGCCATTCTGGAATTTTCAAATAAATTTTACATTTTATTTTTTCCCAAGTTAATAATAATGCATTTCTAATATAGTAGTTTTGGAAGTATTTATGTATTTTATTTTTTCTGTACCATAGAAAAGCATGCCAACCAAGTGGCAGGTCATGTCCCTCCAGATACAGCAGTCTTTTATTTTTAAGAGTTATCCATTCTTTTATCCATGTTAACACTGATGCATGATAATATAAAACCCAATCTGGCAAGCAAAAGCCTCCATTTCCCTTAGCTTCTTGTAACATTTTCAGTTTAATTCTAGCTTTCTTTCCTTGCCAGATAAATTTTTGAATTAGCGAGTTTAAATCTTCAAAGAATTTTTTCTCCAGTTTTATAGGTATCATTTGAAATAAAAAATAATATTTTTGGTAATATATTCATTTTCACCATAGCAATTCTTCCTAACATTGACAGTTGAAGATTCTTCCATTTTTCCAAATCAAGCTTTATTTGGTTTAACAATTTAATGTAATTATCTTTTTTTAGTGTTGAACATCTTACTGTCAAATATATTCCCAAATATTTGACCTTTTTGACTATTTGCAATTCTATTTTTCTGATAATTTCTTTTTTTTTATCTGTAAAATTTTTAACTATCACTTTAGTTTTTTCTCTATTTATCTTTAATCCTGCCATCTCTCCAAATTGTTCTATTTTTTCCAACAGTTTAGGAATTGTCTCTAAAGGTTCCTCTAGAATGAATACCAAATCATCTGCAAATGCTTGCAGTTGGTAGGTTTCACCTTTTATTTTCAATCCTTTAATTTCTGGATCTTGCCTAATGTTCCTATTTAAAACTTCCAAAGTTAAGATAAATAGCAATGGGGATAATGGACATTGACATTGTCTTGTGCCTTTTCATATATCAAAATTCTCTGTGTAATCCCCATTTACAATTACTTTTCATAAATTGCCAAGAAACATTATCAAATGCTTTTTGGGAATCTAAAAATACTAGTGCCAGTTGTTTCCCTGGATGAAGTTCATAATATTCCAATGTATCTAGTATTATCCTCAAATTATTTTTTATTTGTCTCTTTGGCAAAAATCAGTTTTGAACTGGGTGTATAAATTCAGTCAAAAATCTTTTCAGCCTCTCAGCTATTATTGATGTGAAGATTTTATAGTCTACATTCAGTAGTGATATCGGTCTATAGTTTTGGATCTGGGTCAGATCTGAGTCCTCTTTTGGTATCAAAATAACATTACCTTCTATCCATGTATTTGGGAGTTTTGCCTCCACTAGAAGTTCATTACATACATTTTTCAGTGGTGAACTTAATATATCTTGTAAACATTTATAAAACTCTGCCATCTGGTCCCGGTGTTTTTTCATTTTTTTGTCTTTTTATTGCCTCTGTCAATTCCATCATTGATCCATGAAATATAAGATTATAGGTTTGCACATAATAACACACCCTTAATTATTCACATATCATTTGTTGAATTAACATATTTTCATAAACTGTCCTCCACATGAAAGCCAATTAATGTAGGTGAAACATTGAGCATACAGATCTATGCTTTCAATGTGCCTTGGAAATGAAATATTTGATCCATGTATTTAAGATGTTGCCTGGCTAGAGAAATATAGATTGCTCATGTATATCAAAATTTGAGGTATCTGCAGGATTCAAAACTTTGGTGAAAATGACCAAACAGTATCATCTGCCACACTGCAGATACCACATTTTTCATAAGTATACAACATCATAATGCATGTATAAAGTGGATAGAGCTTGTGGTGTAATGATATGACCATTTTTTTTATCACCCACTTCTTATTAAGTCCCCTGTGGATGTCTCTGCAAACAATGCAGATCTCTAAATGAGGGGTTCGTAGGCTGGTTGTATGTCAATGTGTCTGTTGATGGAACTGCTTATGGATTGCCAGGCTTCAATGAACTCACAAGCTTGGCAGTGATTTTTGCGTTGTTCCAATCAAACTGGTGCTGTTTCATGTCAATGTGGATAGAGATTAAGAATTTGGGATTGTGGCATTTAATTGCTAGCCGGTGTTCATGGAACCTGGTTTTTAATTGACATGATGTTTACTCCACATAGAATTAGTTGCAATTGTTACAGTTGATTTTGTAGATTACATTGTTTCTTTTGTCCTTCTGTGTCTTGTCTTTGGTTCTGGATAATTCCTTGCAGTATGTGGCTGTGGGTTTTTGGACTATTACTATTTCTATGGGATGGAAAATTCTGGTTGTCATTTCAATGATCACAAGACCCACCACAAGACCTTCACATACCCACACCTGAAGCCCTTATAAACAGAAGAACATTGACACTAACATCCCCTAAACTCTGCTTAAGATGTTACTTAGCCTGGTAACGAAATGTTCGGAAATCAACAAGCAAGTTTGGAGAATGAACCTTCACTCTCATCCTACACCGGAGCTACAGATATTCGCCACTATAATTCTTTTTGCTTTTTTTCATGCATGTTTCACATTCTCTTTCCTTACATCCACTTTCAATTCATTTTGTTGAGAATCATACTGTCTTTTCCTACTATGATTCTATTTTCACTCTAGTTTTTTTTTACTTTGTTCTCTTTTTTCATAATCATTTTTTCCAAGATCCATTTGACACTTTTGAAAAACAATTTTTCTGCATTCATCACCTTGCACCACCATTATATCCTTTACTAATTATATAAGATTTTCATCATAAACAAATAAATTAGCCACTCTTTTAAGATTCACATCCATTCCTTTGACATGTATATACATGAACTGAGCCTGACAGTCTTTTTCTTAAACACTGTATTTCAAATAGATTTTTTTCTAAACACACCAATCATTAGTCTCATTCATTCTAAGACTGCAAATACCTCAGTTATTTTTAGCATTCCCTCTTGTCTTGTCTTCCAGCCATCCAATTATGTCACTTAACAGAATATTTTTCCCTATGGATCTTAAACATTCAGTATTATTGCACAATTTTTAGTTATTTATCTTTGCTTCTTCCATTATCACCATTCATTAGAGCAAAACATTAAGGGACTCCAATTTACAAACTCCTGTTTTCATGCTTACCATGCAACCTAGATGGTATTGATTCATACTTTCTAATATTACTTTTACTTCTTTCTTTTATAATTAAACTTACATCTTATCAGCTTTAGTCTACAAAAATCAGACTGCCTTCATTTAGATTATTACATTGTTCCCCTTTCTTTTTATGTTAGTGATACAGACATACAATATTGCAATTGGTTTTCCTTTCCTTTTTTCAATTCATATTCTGTGTCAATCAGAATTCAAAGTTGCAATTTTCCATATACTATGGTAGTCGCCAGACAGGGCCATAGATATTGGTATATTTCACTCATTCTAGCATTATTCAGTCATTATTCAGTCATTATTCAATCACACACTTTTTTGTAGTGTACAGTGCCAGTTGGTTCTTGTACATTTTGGACAGTACACCACAAATCAAGAAGTTCCTTTCTGTATCTAGGCAAGCTGGCAATACTGTGAATAATTTATTCCTAGTTCTACTAATACACCCATCATTGAAGTAGTAGGCAAGAACTTGAAATTCTGACAGAAAGCAGTTGAGAAGAAAAAAATTACATTAAGGAACCTTTTTTAAAAAAAAATCCACATAGAGAGAACCCCAGGGATTATTCTATATTCATACAAAATAGTTTCCTCACTAAACCACAAGCAAAGCTGTGGCATTTTTAGGATGGATAGTGAAGTTAACAGAAACCTGTGGCATAATAGCTTGTTACGTGGTTGGCTTCCATTTTGTCTTTCAATATAACTGATCTGTCAGTTTTATTTTAGATTTGAAACTCAATTGGTTCATAGGCTTTTATGTCATTAAGTAGCAACTTGCAGCATATAATTTACTCAGGGTTTAAGAGGTTCACTGCTGAATCTTAGTAGCATGTTCAGAATTTTATCATTTAGAATTTAAAGAGGAACAATAGATATTCTGCACCTAATTTTCCTGCAAGTTTTTGGACAAATAGGAAACATTATGTTAGTAATGATTTTCCAATATTTGCATTTTTTTCTGTGCAAAGACCCTACAGAGACTATTAGCAATGCTTGTAGTGAAGTCTGTGACAAGTCAAACAAAAAAGCCATAAAGAGACATACCATAATTATTTTCATTTTATTTTCTCTTAAATATTGCTGCCATTGTTCATTGCTTGTTTGCACTGGAATTTTACCCTGAAAAAACAGTCCATAGGGGATGAAAGATCTGGGTACATCTTCCGCATAAAGATCTTTTGAACAATAGCAAAAACATGATAAAAATCTATATATTGTATAATGCATGTCATGATAATAGTCAAAAGCCATTGTGGAGGACTTTGTGAGTGACTGACATATAGATAGTTCTAAACTAACAACAGCAATTGGGACTGGAATTTCTGTTGCTAAGCAATGTGGTTGCAAACTGCACCATCATCACATAGGAAGGGCAATCCCTGCAGTTCTGGTTGCTGTTATTAACTGTCATTAAACAAGACAACTTCCTGCCAGAATCCCACAACCAAAGTCAGCAGGCAAGCTAGAAGGATGTTTCAAGTCCTATGCCCATAGGCAAGTAAGTAGCTGCTGCCAGTTAAGAAGGAAATGAGGGGGTGGGCAAGGCTGTGGAGGAAAGTCCGAGAAGGATCACAAGAGGCATATCATGTGGAGGGTGCAAGGAGGCACATGAAAGTAGCCCTATGGGTTGGGAATGTTGTGTGAGAGGTGTAACATGAATTGAGGAGGGTCTATGAGAAGGATTGTGTGGGTCAAGAAGGATGCATGAGAGACACTGTATGACTCAGTGAAGATTTGTGAGAAGTGTGGCACAGGGAGGGTACAAAAGGACATGCAAGATTCATTGCACAAGTTGGACAGGGTATGCAACTCTCAAGAGTGACACACAGATTGGGGAGCAAAAGGCACTGTATAGGTCAATGAGAATGCATGAGGGTAGGAGATACTGTGCAGACTGGGTAGGATACATGGATGTACAAGTAGTCAACACAAGCACAAAGGACGTGGGGGAAGATGTATGGGTGGTGAGATTTATCCCGGTTATATTTTACCTTTGACTTTAAGGGGGTGTTGGCATGGAAAATTGTAAATGGTGATCATATAGTAATTAGACACTTAGCAAACAGTCATAATTGGAAAGCACTCTGATTGCAATCACGGGACTTCAGGAATGCTGAGACAACAAGATCTTCAGTCATAGCCATCATTCATTCATATCACTGTAACTGTACAGTTGTTGAATGAATGGTTGTAAGTCAAGGACCACCTGTAAATGTTTGCCTTAAATATACTGAACACTGTTAGTAATCTGTCATCAGTATTTTGTCACTTTTTTGTCTACTAAGTATTTACTATTATTTAATCATGTATTCCTTATATCAGTTTACACTTTCATTGGAAATATTTCACTTATATCCTTATATATTTTAAAAACCTACAACCCCAAAATAAATGGTTTATATAGCTTTTACCCTATTTTGTGATTCTTTACAATGGGAAAATAATTTTTTGATCCCTCTTCTTCCTGCTATAATATGGTACTACAAATTGCACTTTCTATTCGTTATAATTGGGTACAATTAAGCTGTGTGCTTTTTGCCTGCAGGTGAGTGAGATGGAAGTAAATGGTCAGTTTGAATCAGTCTGTGAGTCTGTATTCAGCGAACTAGAGTCTCAGGCAGTAGAAGCCCTAGATCTGCCAATGCCTGGGTGTTTCCGCATGAGGAGCCACAGTTATGTGAGAGCAATCGAAAAAGGCTGTTCCCAAGATGATGAATGTTTGTCTTTGAGATCCTCATCTCCACCTCGCACAACCACTACTGTAAGGACCATCCAAAGCAGCACTGGTAAGTCATCGTTGGATTGCTTTCCACTCATAATTTTGAATGTTAAATGTAATCACCTAAATGGCTCTTTTGAACCCTAGATCCTCTGAATTCAATGAATCTTCATGTCCTGCACAGTCACTTGCTTCATTTTCCTTAGATATCCCTTAAAAATTTGCATTGTCTGTCTGTCCTTTGTGGAGTATTGCATGTAGTCAGAATAGTCTGTAACGGCTTATGCTCAGCAGATTAGTTTTTTTTTTTATTGGCAATACATGGGGTTCTTGATTTATGACAGCAGTTGGGACAGGTTGCTGTTGTTAAGTGATGCAGTCATAAATTTAGCACAATGTCACATGACCATATTGCTTAGTGATGGCAGTTCTAGGACCATGTGTGTGTTAAGCAGAAAGAGATGGAAGTTCAAGGAAAGGAATAGGAGGGGTTTTGGAGGGGGAGCTGCTGCAGATAAGTACTTTGGAGCTTATATAGTCAGCAAGGGTACTAGGGAATTCAGCTAAGCCAGGTAGGACCTTGGGCAGGTCAATGAGAGCTGTGATTGACAATGTGCTATGGGCAGGTGTGCAATAGACAGGATGGGGAGGAATGCTGCAGATGGGTACACACTGTGCTGGAATGGACCAACATGTTATGGCCAACTTGCTACAGCTAACTCACTGCAGCCAACTTGTCATGGCCAGCTCACACAGCCAATTCACTGTGGGACAACTTATCATCAGACAATTCGCTGTGGGACAACTCACCATGAGACAATGCAACAGTTCAGTTTAATTATTTAAAATAATTTAAAAATTATTTTAATTTTTGTCATTCACATTTCATTTTGTCCCTTCTTTGGCATCCTTTTTTAAATGATTCTATTCTACCATTTCTTAGATATTAGTGTAACTCTTGTCCTGTGGTGAGTTGTCCCTCGGCAAGTTGGTCATGGCAAGTTGGCCATGACGAGTTGGCCATAGTGAATTGTCCTAGACCCCACTGTGCAGTGCAAGCAGCTGAATGGGTGCTATAGAATTCAAGATCCCTGGGGTTTTCTACTCTATAGTGGGTCTTGTTGAGAGAAAAATCAGCAGGAGTGATTTATGGAAGCAACTTGCAAACTTCCCTGTCCCCCTTTGATTTTGCTTGTGAGAAACTGGCAGGGAAGGTCAGAAATGGCAATCATGTAACTACTGCTTAGTGCAACATCATAATCATGAGGTGGCTGCCTGATTGCCTGGATTGCAATCACTTGATCATGGGGATATTGTGACAGCTGCAACTTTGCAGACTGTTCATAAGTCCGTTTAGTGTTGTTATAATTTTGAACAGTCACTGAACAAGTAAAGACAACTATTGTAATGGTGCATATGGTAACAGCAACATCACATCAGACTTTCTTTTGCACTTATAATTTTAAAAATTTGCATTTGTGTACCTAGCTTTGCTATTGGTTTGTTGAGAAGCACCCCAGAAGGAGTGCTTGACAGCTTGTAAAGTACTTCAAACTGTTGTAAAATGTGGAAGCTTCCATCTTCTTCTGAGAGAGTGGGGAAGAGAAAGAGTGCAAAAAAGTGTGGGGGGGAGATAGGGAGGCAAATCAGTGCATCAAAACTCTAGGCAGGAATGGAAGTAAAATTAAAGGAACAGAAGAAGCTGACAAGGCTCAGGACAGTGCCTGGGTATGAGTGTGCATTCACATGTACAATAGGAGGAGAAAGGGCAGAAATAGGGAGCAGTGTGTATGTATGTGTGGAAAAGAGATGAGAGCTGAGTTAGGTAAAACTGAGTTTGTTCATTATAGTCAATAGCACAATAGAGATATCATCTTAGTACTAGTTTAGCCTAATCAAAGGCCATTACCAATATAGCTTTCTGAAAGAAATCATAATACTATATAGCATTTCTGGGAGATTTCTCAAAGATGCTTGTATTTTTTTTTTCAAAAGGCAACTGGACTGTTTTTTGAGGAAGAAGATATTTCACTTTTCATCCAAGAAGCTTTATCAGTTGTGATTGGATGGTGGGAGAATGACAGGATTAGGGGGGCAGGAGGGGGGGGGAAATGGAAGGATTGTACTTCTTTGCAGTCATTTGGTTGTTAGCTCTCTCTGAGAGCCATTGAGGCCACTTGGGGTTTATCTGCCTTCAGGGTCACTTAAATCAAGGATGCAAATATCTCCATAGACATTCTAGGCAGATGTTTTCATCTTCTGACAAAGTTGACAGCTCATATCAGCAAAGATAGTCTTAAAGGATAAAAAGATATCCTTAAACAGTAAGTATATATGGTTGACCATCTCCCCATGACCTTGATGGAGAATACACTTTGAGTGTCTTGGTAAATGTTTTTAAAAGTTTCAGTCATACTGATACTAATTTTCTGTTCTTGGATCATCTATATAATTTAACATTTTTCTTCTGTTTCTATGTAACATTATAAAAATACAGAATACTCTTATTATTGTTGCATTTTGAGCTGACATTACTATGATTCTGGATAAATATGTGTGTGAAAGTTACGTGTGCTATTCTTTACTATAGTCCCAATATTTGGAATATCAAAATATTAGGAATGTTCCAGGTTTGGCTAAAATAATTATCATACCACCTGATATTCCGCAGTGCTGTGCTGCTGTGTTTTGTCTTTCACCTTTTGACTTGTTGTGGGTTAATTGATATGTCTTTACATTAGCAAGGAAGCCTTTTAATAAGATATTATTTTGTATAGATCCTAATTTTCCAGATTCTTTTATATTATTATTTAATTAATACTTTGTTATATATTTTTATATAATTGTGCTGAGAATATATGGATTAGAATTTTCCGATTACATGCAGAAGCTAAGAAAAGTTCTGTGTGTTTTCCTCATCAAACTAACATAAATATTGGAAGAGTATATCTTGATTACTGAATTTTCCCACACTAGGATTTACTGTATAATGAGGATATTAATAAGGCAATCTCACAAATTTTAGAAACTATCATGAGTACAATGTAATGGCATTAAACCTAAAATTCAGCGAAAACACTTGTTAAAAAATTCTAATTTGAAGAAATTATATAATGAACCCAAGGAACACGAAAAGACTGCACGAAAAGACAGGTGGAATTGAACCATGAAAATTCTTTTGACAAGTAAATTTCCACTTTCTTTTGAATCAGCCTTTAAAGTGTTAGCCCTTTCCTTACCCAAAAGCCTTAGTGAATAATTATACTCATTATAAATAATCCATGTGCTTAATATACTTTCTGTGCATACAGTTTGCATGTAGTAGGGGGAACATCATATTTCAAAACCCAAGAAATGATAGCTTGATTGAAGAACTGAAGTGAAATGGACCTCTTCAGATAAGCACCGATAGGCTCTGTGGTTCTTTTTGAGTTCTCCCAGGGTTGATTTGATTAGACAATAGTTGTTCTTACTGCTTCTTGTCAGTTTCTGTATATTGTGGATTTTGTATTTGTTTTTACTGCTGTGGGTCAGTAGACCAGCTGGCTTTGCTTTTTTAAACTATTTCTCCAAGTCTGATTGCATGTTTTTTTATACATCTGATTTTCTTACCTCTTTAAATGGACAGCAATCAGCGATTTCAGGCAACTTATGTTATTATGTCCATTTAGCTACTCCTTACTTTTATACACATAAAAGCTCCCTCATCTTTATGGAAACTTCTCTGAAAAGGTAAAAATGTTTTCTACCCCTTAATGCTCTGTTCCATGGGCTTGCAACTCTCTTGATTTTTGGCATGTTGAATGTAACAATCCCAGAAGTCGGAATAAGAATACAATGAAATTAAAATTGAGCAATTCATTAGCATTTACATGATTATACCATATATTTAATAATTTCTACAAAATTATAATCTGATGATAATTTTCAACCAGCCTAACTAACCACTAGAAACACCTGTCAATCTGCAGCTTCCAGTTCTATTGTTCTGGTTTAAAACTTTGCTTTTTGCAAACCTTTGACAAGCAGAGTCAATGAGCAAGCCAGATCCATTTAACAACCATGTTACTAATTTATCACTGCAGTGATTCACTTAACAAATGAATAATCTAAAGCTAGTTTTATGCAGAATTAATGTATTTTCATGGAGCATGGCTTATGATCAGTCAGAATCATAGCAACATTTAAGACTAATTTGGAAACATATATTATAATTTGGAGACACTGCTACAGTCTTTCCTTAATCATATTTTCCTAAGCTGCATATTTGAATGGTGCTGAAGATGATCAGTGCTCAGTACAAAAAATCATTTTTATAATTGCCACAAGCATTACTGAAATTCTCAATAAATTATATATGCTTTCTTTCGCTGCTTATTGGCACTTACCAAATAACTCCAATAGCTTAGTAGATCAGGCTGCACCATTAAAGAAGCTATATTGATTCTTTTTAGCAGAACTTGCCCTTTTATGTCCATATGATTGATAAGTATTTTTAACAGCTTCTTTTCACCAATTTACCTGAATTGAGTTAGCTGCCCTGTAATTTTCTGTAAATTCTGCAACAGCTGTATAATAATAATACTATTCAGACGTTGGAAAATGAATATCTGAGAGCTGAAATTTCATTTGCCTCAGCAATTTCCTAATACAGAGGCCAGTTTAAGGATGCTTTACAAATTTTGGTGGATCATCAAAGACGGTTGTCTTAATTTTTTGGTGACTCTTCCCAAAATTATTGATTTTGGCATAAACACTTGTTCTATATTTTCTATAGTGAAATAGAATGTGGCATTTTAGCAATTTCCGTATGACTTTGAATACCCAGCTGACTTTTTGGTTCCAGTTACTTTTTATTTAAGTTGTTTTTTTGTTGGTGAATGAAAGATATCAAATCCCATTTTTCAAAATCCTTTTTACCCCCCTGCTGATACATTTCTTTAGTGCTTGTATTTCCTTTGTATTTCGTTCTTATTTTATCATTTTGACTTTAACTAACATTAGGCAGTCTAGACAAGTCACTTAATTAATTTCCTCTTTATCCAACTTGTTTTGAGGGAGGATGTG